GCATTGTGGAAGATCAGAGGAAGTTCAGGCAAGCTCAAAAGAACCTCAGGCCTCACTAAAAAGCTCCACATTGCCATACACGAGTTCATCTGAAACAGGTATTTGTCAACTTTCTATCTCTCTATTTAGGAATCATTAGGCTTAGGTTTGTGAATAAAAAATGTAGTACTCATAGCCCTTAAGTTGTACATATGCTTAGTTTTCATTTAAGTTAAGTGTGCTGAGAGAATTTGATTGATGAACATCCTGAAAAAGTTAGGTTAGAAATTAGGGCCATAGAAATTCTCTCTGGTCTTTGAGAGTTAGATTAAGTTTTTTATATGGTTGGAATCGTCTTGAAAAATGTTATGACTTTGGTGTTATGAGTTTTTGCTTTAGAGCACATATGCAGGATTTCCAGATTCTATACACAGGCGCGCGTTTTTTAGTTTCAAAGGTTGAAGATGAAGCTGGGCTGGGCTTGGTTTGGCTTGTTTTTTACACCCCCTCTTTGTTGTTCATACCCCCCTGGCCCATTTCTTTATATTTTTGTATTTTTTTTATTTATTTTTCATTTCTGATTTTATTTTATTATTTTCTAAACATAAAAAAATATTAAAAACATTTTCATAAATTTTCACATTTTATTTTATTATTTTTTATTATTTTTTAGACATAAAAGTAATTATTAAATAGTATATGCCTTTATTTTCTTTAATAAAAACAAATAAATATTATAGAAATATTATATATTTTTACTTTTATTATTTATACATAAAAAAAATTTTCCACATATTTTATTTCTTAATATCCTTGTATATATTTATATTTATTTTCTTGTATATAAAATAAATAATATAATATATATTATCTTAAAACAAAAAAAAACTACGGTTTCCACCCTTATTAAAAATAATATTTTTTCTAATATATTTTATTTTTTGACACTTGAATATATTTTTTATTTATTTTATTGTACATAAATAAATAAATATTATAATTTTCATACATATTCTTAAACCAAAAATTAGGGTTTTTACCCTTAACAAAAATAACTTTTTATTTTCTTTTTTTTAATACATTAAATATTTTATTTTACATACATATAAAATACCAAAAAACATTTTTTTGCATATTTATAATATTTTGCATATTTATATTTAATTGCTTATTTAAATATTGTTTATTTATTATTTGATGCAAAGAATTCAATTTGGATGTAATAGTAAATTTAGGGTTTTAATTTCTTGCAAAATAATCCCCATTCAAAATTGTATCCCCCTCCCCATATCAATGATGTAATAGCTTAGATTACTTTGACGCATTTATGCTTTCAAATATGCCATGATAGAGATTAGGGTTTGTATGCAAAATCCAAAATCAAAACAAATAGTTAGACCTAATACAAGACATAAATGCATGAAAATGATAGCACAATGCACACAAGCACCCCTAGGGTTTCACCCACTTGTTGCCTTTAAAATGGCCATGGTATGCATGTTGAGTATCTTGGTAAAACAAAAACAAAACAAAAAGATCATAGTCCCTCGATGACGCTATCTTGGTTGCCTATACAAAATGATCTAGTCCCTCAAAAAATTGCTAAAGATACTTAGCACTATTGCTATCATGGTCAATACGATGACCCACGCCTGTCCCGTTTAACATCCAAATACAAGGTTGTTTACCAAATACAATAGTAAAACAACAATGTAAAAGGGTTAAAAATGTGTAGGAAAGATCTTTGAGTAGATAGGGTAGACAACTCTTAGTTACTTGATCAAAACTTGCAAACATCCTTGCTATTTTCAAACACACCTCACAACACAATTTCAAAACATTTCCCAAAACAAACTTTCAAACTTTCAAACATTGAAACATCTTTTAAAAAGACAAACACCTTTGTATACATTCAAACAAGAATCATTACAAAGTTTGCCACAACGATGGCCTCTTTTCAAAACATTTTCAAAACCATACACAAAGCACCATTTCAAACAATTGAAAAGCAAAAGCAAGTGATCTAAACAAGTAACTAAGATCCCATGGATAACCATGGATGAAAAGGGTGCTTACACCTTCCTTTTTCATAATCTACCCCCCGAACCCAAGAAAACATCTCAAAGGTCTTTCCTGTGCTTTTTGACCTTTCCTTTGGATAAAATAAAAAGTCGGTGGCGACTCTTGCTAAACCGAAACATTTGAGAACACAGACGCAAAACCTCAAGTCAGTTCTCCCACCGCATCACAGAAGGCCTTATTCTTTTCACTGTAATTTGTCAGCACCAATAACAACAATTCCAATCTTGTAAGAATCTGAAAACAGATAGAAAATTATGAAAAATGAAAAAAAAAATATCTTATTCGAATCAAGTTCAAAATTTGATTCGAATCAATTAGAGCATAGGTTTACAGGAAGAGTGTGATTCGAATCATGTTGAAAATTTGATTCAAATCAATTTATTCTAAAATTCCTGGAAAGTGTCTATTCCTTTTTATTCGAATTAGAAGGTCAGTATAAAAGATTATGATTTGAATCAATAGTGTAAAATCTCAATTTTTCAAATTTTCAAAAGCCTTTAAGACTTTATATACCACTTTTGACAAATCAAAAACACATAACTTTCTTATTCCACCAACTCATGTAAATGACCAATAACTTCATTAACTAGATCGCATATAATCAAGGATTTATGCATACTAAAAGGATTCACGAATGGATTTCAAAACTTTATTCACTGTATGCTATTTTTGAGGGAGACTCAATAAAATACAATAAGCTAAAGCGATAAGACAAGCAACAAAATATGATAAGACCGCAACCAACTCTCCATAGGGATATGCAACTATAGTTGAGTCTCCCAGGTGAGACTTAGTTGAGTCCTTTAGATGTGACTTAGTTGAGTGTTATTGACGAGATTTAGTGAAGCTCCTCTCTTCCTCTTTGAAATGGGAACGTCACTATGATGGTATGTCAATTTCGACTGGCATCACGGCGTCCTCCCCATACACTAGCGTAAAGGGGTTTTTTCGATGGTGGAGTGAGGGGTAGTATGATATGACCGCAACACTTCGTCCAACTGTTCGACCAACAATCTTTGAGCAGCATCCAGCTTCTTCTCGATTCCCTTCAATATCACTTTATTAGTTGATTTTTCGTAGTTGTTCTCATGTGGGTGAACGACTAATACGAACTTGGTTTGTACTCCTATGTCCTTGCAGAAATCAATCACAATAGTACTGGAGAATTGAGTTTTATTGTTCGAGACGATATTTTTTGGTAAATCGAACATACACATAATCTTCTTCCAATAAAAGCGATGAACTTTTTATGCCTCCCTTGCATATAATCTAGGAATGGAGAACATTTCTTGTATTACAATGTGGTTGAACCATGTTTTCTTCAAACTAGCCAGCTTGGACAATAAGTCTTCCTTAATGTTCTATTATCTGGGTACATGAATCATCTCGAACATTTTGAATTGCTCAGACAAGTCACGTACCTTCTTCAAATAATTGATTAGTTTTCCATTGAAGCAACTAGAATTGAGGGACACTCACTTCACATCTCAACTGACATACTTAATTTTGATGAGAATGGAATCATTATTATGGGAGAGTACATCGATCACGTCTTCTCTTTTAAAGGTGATTCTGGACTCTCAGTCCCTATGATATTTGTTGTTAAATTCATTCAAGTATATCTTCCATGCGAGGAGCTAAATTCTCTCTCCCGATAACCTTTAATGATGGTATTGGTGGTCTTCTTGAAACTTTGCTTGACCATCCTCGTGAGAAGATAATGAAAACAATCATGAATAATTAATGTGTAATTAAATTTTAAAAATATTTATTTATAATTCAAGAACATATAATATTTTAGAGCATGTTAAAAAAAAACAACATATAAAATAACTGTGCGTAACTTACTAGTTTCTTGAAAGAAAATATTTTTTAAAAAAAATAAAGAAAAAAAGTCTTGCATGTGCTTTTTTTTATATAGTCCTGTTTTTTTTGTTTTTGGAACGTAACATTTGTCAATAACGTAAAAAATAATAATTTTTTTATATATAAATTTCTTTTAAAAGCAATGGGTTTTTAAATGATATTGTCACGCCGATTCAAACCTGAACGTCTCCATTCTTTCTTCCATCATGATTTTCTCTTGTTCTTCCTTTTCTAAAGAAGGGTAGTTTTATGATCAATTTTTATCTAAAATTGTCATTTAAATTTTTTCTTCTTCGTGATTTCATCATCTTAGTGTGACGTTGTGTTGGTCATCGTTGTCTTAATGCAATATTATATTAGTCATCGTGCCGCGTTATTTTATTTTTTCGTCTTGCAGTGTTTATTTGGTTTAGATAAATAGATTAATTTCATTCAGTTATATTCAACCAATTATTTTAACGTCGTCAAGCGCTGCAGATTCAAAAATATTAGTATTTCTAACATTTCAATTTCGTCATATTTATATATTTTATAATATTTATAGATATTTTGCTGTTATGTGTTATTAATGTGAATATTAAAAATTTGTTCGTAAATTCATTCTTTTCAATTTACAATAATTTTGAATTTGTATTATTTAATATATAAATTTGAATAAATGAACGTCAATTTTAATATAAAAAAATTTTGCATTAAAAACTATCACATTAATGATAGAGATAAATTTCTAGCTATTAAAAATAGTGTTGCTATAGTAAAGTTTATTTATTCATTTAATAATATGACAACGGTTTATTTTTAGTCTAATCAATTTAAAACAATTAAGATGGTTAAAGTTACCCAACTCTTTTAATTGGGTAAAGAAGTTGTCCCCAATTATTTTTATTAACTAGTGATAAGTACTCCAAACTATTCTCATTTACTAATAATGTAAATCTTTTTATTTTGTAATTTATTATTCAAACCAACTTCAAACAAATCTCTCAAATATAAACCACCTACGTATACTATTATTTAGTTTTAAGTTGTTCTCATTCGCTATAAAAAAAGGTCTTATTATCATCCTTTTTAATTCACGTAGTTAGAGCTGCATTTAGGAGTATGTTCCAAGTATCTGGTAGTCCTGGTAGACACCAATGACTGCAATCATTACCATGAGTCTCAGTATAGACAGAAGGGTGTGCATCTTTTCTTAACTGTGAGAGGAGTGTTATATCAAGTAGAGAAACCTGCTTCTTCATATTCTTTAACACTTTGTTCACTACATCAGTTGGAGGAGGTAAAGGCGTTGGATATTTTGGCCCGAGTACCGGTTCAACTTCACCGTTACATGTATTCTTTGGTTCGTTCCAATCTCCGCCTCTGAATTCAATGAGAAAAGAGAATCAATATATTTGTTTCAGTTAATCTTATAAAATATAAGAATGTAAGAGTTACGTACCGATAATGAGTAGGGGATATTCCTTGAAAAAAGAGTTTAGTTTTGGTAGGATCAACATTTGCATCAACCCAATTAGCCCAAGTGGTTAATCCTTTATAAAATGCATCCAATCTGTCCATGTTCTTCACTAGATTGGCACCATCTCTAATATAATCCCATCTAAAAGTAACAAACATCAACAACCATTTAGTTTGAGTAAAAAAAAACAAAAACAAAATAGAATAATTCTATTGTAGACTGAAACAATACTTTTGTGATTTTCCAGTGTGGATCCACCAATGCCATGAGTTGAAGATCAACATGTCCATGCCAATCCATGCATTTCCAGCTTTTATGGAATTGAGTGTAAGCACTTGCCCAACATTTTCCTTGATAATGTCCACCAAATATGGTGTGCGGTATAGATGTAAGGTCACTCCATAGTCCTACACAATATCACAAACAACGAGAAGATAAATTAACACAAAATCACCACTTATTTATTTTTGTCTTAGGGTACGATATCAAAACTTGAAGCCACTATTATTTGTTTTTTTTTTTTCCTTATATAAAGCCTCTATTAATATTTTTTTTGGATTTAATCTATTTTAATATTTTTACTAGGTTCAATTAATTTTACTTATATGAAAACTTTATTAGATTAAAATTTTGAATTTTTCGCAAAAACGGTATTAGTTATTACATCGTAGAATTATGTTTTTAATTAACAAATATTTATACTATGATATAAAAAGACAATAAAAAAAGTACATTCAATTTTGGTATAATATTTTTTAGAAAATATTTCTTTTATAATATTATTTTATTTTATTTAAAAATAAATACGTTGAATACTAAAATTTAAATTTAGTCAAACTTAAATAATATATATATTCTAAAATTAAAATGAAAAATTAAATTTAAATTTAAATAATATCATAAAATAAATTTAAAACAAAAAGTAACCTTGTTGTCTTTTTACTAAATTAAATTAAATTAAATATATATATATATATATATATATATATATATATATATATATATATATATATATATATATATATATATATATATATATATATATATATATATATATATATATATATATATATATATATATATATATATATATATATATATATATATATATATATATATATATATATATATATATATATATATATATATATATATATATATATATATATATATATATATATATACTTCGTATCTTTTTAAATATTAATTTAAAAAAGTTTGATTTTTCAAACCTAAAACATCTTATTTTATTGTTGCTTGTTGGTATATAGTACAATTTGAAACACAACATAATAAAAAGCAAAAAGTATTACCTTAAAAATCACAGTTGATATTGGATCTTTCTTTGAAAAGGTTGTAGTAACATTTGGTACAGATGCATGAATCATACAAGATAACGATTCCCACATGTTTAGACTCAATGAATCACCCACAAACATTATCTTCTTATCCTTCCATTTGTTCAAGAAATCCTCTCCATTGAACCTACACCACACAAAAACAACGTTAATTCTCACATAGTTTCTTATATCACAGAAGATTTTAATAAATATGAACCCTATATACACTACCTTGGTAGGGAACATGAATCTGGCTTCCAAGAATATTTAAGATACTCAGTGTCTTTTCTTCCAAACTTTTTACAATCAAATTGAGATTCTAGAAAGGGGCAGGTTGAAGAGTCATAGAGTAGAGGTTTGGAAGAATTATCAATCACCCAACTTCCAGAGAATAAATTACAACTATTTAGCTGTTTTCGTCCTCTTGTATATGACTCTTTTGCTCGAACTTGTTGCATGGACACAAGAGCTAGACAAAACAGAGAAAGAAAAAACAAGTTATTAACATTGGAACCCATATTATGTTAGTGAATAATAATAAGTTGATATTAGTATGTGCTAGTTGTTCATATATATAGACAAAAAAAAAGTTGTTCATATATATAAAAGATTGAGAAAATCAAGGGATTTATAAAAAGTCAAAGATTTATATTTATATTATAAAGATATAGTAAAGCAGCTGGTTTTACCTAATAATATAATATATATATATATATATATATATATATATATATATATATATATATATATATATATATATATATATATATATATATATATATATATATATATATATATATATATATATATATATATATATATATATATAATTTAATGTTTTTTAAATGGGTAATTGCTTTTCTTAACTAAAGTAAATTATATTCACTTTTTTGACTATATTTTATGAATAAAAAATCTTCCTTTTTCTTTGACCATTTTTTTTTGGTAAAGTGTAATTTATATATATGATAGTAGAGTTTGAGTGAGAAGAGGGTACCTGCAAGACACTCTGATGCTAAAGTAAGTTGCGGAATGAGCAAGTAAGCGTGAGAGTAAAAAAATGTTGAATATCTGACTCTCTCGAAAGAGGAGGTATTTATAGCTTCAGCACTGGATCAAATTCTCTACATTGGGCTGGTCAAGCAGGTCCAACGTAGAGACTACCAGGTCCTACGTGAGTAGTAAGGATCCGCACGTGGTCCCCTACCTGGATGACGTCCTCCACAAGATCAAGAGAATATGAATGCAATCTTTTCAAGACCACGAAGACTCCGTGATATCCGGAGACATTAGTAGTTGTGAAATCAAGCTTTCCAAGTGTTTTGATGAAGACAAGCTAGCATGCAAAAATGAATGGATCAAGATAGAAGATTTATCTCAAGCAAAGATTCATTAATCAAGATCAACATTTCAAGACTTATGGCTTAAGGTATATGAAATTTTTGATCTTATGCTCTTAGTGCTCAAAACTATTTTTAATCATGCATTTACTTTATTAAAATAATATTTTAAGTATATACTATGTATGATTGAAGAAGGATGTTTTAAATTGCTTAAAATCTTTGAAAATAATGATTTTTCAATTTTTGTACACAAGCAATCGATTGCATCCAAAAAACATTTGATTCTGTTTGACATACAATCGGTTGTCATCTAGCAGCAATCGATTGTCATGTGTTTTATTTTCAAATTTTTTGAACGTTGGCTTTAGAGCAACCGATTGCTCCTCAATGACAATCGGTTGTCATAGTTATATTTTCCAATTTTTTTAAACGTTGTTGTGCTGCAATCGGTTGTTGCTTTAATACAACCGGTTGTTGTGCCTTAAATTTTTGAAAATTTTTATTTTTCCAGCAATCTTTTGTAACACCCTTTCATGGAAATCTTTGTATCTTTTCAAATACATTTTGTTAGTAAAAATGGTTTAAACATTGCTATGATTCATTGAAGAGGTGTTACTACACTATAAATTATTCTGATTTAGAATTTTGAACAAAAACAACAACAAATAATACAACAATAATCACTAACAACAACTTTCTATTCTTTTGATTATACTCTTTATACTCAAGATTTTTGTTCATCATTTTCATATGCATACTGAAAATTGTTCTTGAGCACTTAGAAGAGTATTTTATCTTAAATTTCATATTAAATAGAAAAGATAAATCAAGTGATTGACATTGCTCTTTCATTATTCAAACTCTTATACAAATTAAACAAACTATTGTATACTTGTTTTCAGGATTGTTGGAAACAAGAAAGACACTTAGGGAGGATTGTTCTCTTTGTGGTCTTAGTGAAAATCCAAGAGGATTGTTCTTGGTCCAAGAGGATTGTTCTTGGTCCAAGAGGATTGTTCTTGGTTGTTAGGTAGTCTTTGTACAAATTACCAACTATAAGGAAATCTCTTTCATGTTGAAAGGGGACTGGAGTACTCTCGGACTGTGAGGGGAACCAGGATACATCTCTGTGTTCTTTACTTTTCGCATTTACTGCTTCCATCACTTATCAGAAAAAGAAAGAAAAGAAACTCGTGCAAAAATATTCATACAATTCAGAAAAAGTTTTAAAGAACCTAATTCACCCCCCCCCCTCTTAGGCGCATCTGAACTTACAATTGGCATCAGAGCAGGTTATAGGTAACCTGTTCCTACTAGATCCAGAATGGCTTCCGCAAACAACAATTATGTGTTCAGAGACGGTGGCAGTAGCAACAAGCCTCCTCTATTCTGTGGTGAATATTTTGATTTCTGGAAGATCCGTATGAAGGCTCATCTAAAAGCACAAAGAGAAGAAATATGGGATGCTGTCCAAAATGGCTCTTTTGTTCCGGTAACTGTAGTAAACGGCGTTGGTTCATCAAAGCCTAAAACTACATGGGATGATGATGATAAGAAAAAGGTCTTGTATGACAAAAAGGCAATAAACCTCCTTCAAAGCGCACTTAGTATGGATGAATTCTTCCGTGTCTCAGCATGCACAACGACAAAAGAAATTTGGGATACACTGGTTGAAACACATGAAGGAACAACTGAAGTTAAGAGATCGAGACTTAATACGTTAAGTCAAGAATATGAATTGTTCCGCATGCAACCCGTAGAATCCATTCTTGATTTACAAAAGAGATTTGTGCATCTAACAAATCATCTAAGGGCACTTGGAAAAACATTGACTAATGATGAATTAAACCTAAAAGTGCTCAGATCCTTGACTAGAGAATGGCAACCAAAGGTAACGGCAATCTCAGAAAAGAAGAGTCTCGCTACTATGACATCCGCAACCTTGTTCGGAAAACTTCAAGAATACGAGATAGAACTTGGTAGACTGGAAAAGCGTGAAAATCAAGAAAATAAGTCTAAGAACATTGCCTTGAAGATTGACTCCAAGGAAGACGAAAAGAAAGATAATCATGATGAAGATGAAAACTTCATGCTTCTCGTTAGAAGACTTGGAAAATTATTTGGTAAAAATGACAAAGTCTTATCACACTCAAAGAAGAAGAAACATTTCAAGAAGAAGGAAGGATCCTCATCAACACAAGAAGTTACTTGTTATGAATGTGGTAAACAAGGTCACATCAAACCGGACTGTCCAAAACTTTCAAAGAAAAGTGGCTAAAAAGGCAAGAAGGAATCAAAAGATAAGAAAGCATATGTTGCATGGGAAGATGTTGAACTAAGTTCGTCATCCGACTCCGATAGCGACGAAAGTGTCAATCTTGTGTTAATGGCATCACGCCACTCCGAAAGCAAAGATGATGAGGTTAGTAACGTATTCTCTCTTTTTGATAGTGATGCACAAGGTGCTATAAATGAACTGTTAAATGAATGCAAAATTCTGTACAAAACTATCTCATCACAAAAGAAACAAATTTCATCGTTGGAAGAAAAATGTGGATCTATTGAAAAAGATCTCAAAGATGAAAAGCAAAAAGTTAGTGATGAAAAATAGAATTTTGTATGCACAAAGTGTGAATCTCTCTCTTTCCAAATTGTCCAATTGAAAAGGGTTATTGAAATGTATGAAAAAGGACAAATTGTATTAGAAGGTGTTCTTAGCCAACAAAGATACTCAAATGACAAAAGTGGTCTTGGATACTCAAAATTTTCAAAACCAAGTACCAACAAAACCATCTTTGTCAAGGCTAGCGATCAACCAACCAAAGAGAAAGAAATCACTCCCAAAATAGTTCATCACTATCCTAAAAAGAAAATACCCTCTAAGAAGAAATCTTATCCTTCTAGATATAGAATTAAATTTGAACCTACTTGTTTTTATTGTGGTATTCGAGGACACACACCTAATGCTTGTTATGTTAGAAACTTTGGCATGGCAAATGGGCATTATGTGTGGGTTAAGAAAGAAACTAATTATGAAGGACCCAAAGCAACTTGGGTACCTAACAAAACCTAATCTTGTTTTGTAGGTAAGCTTGACGACCACTTCAAATCTATGGTATCTCGATAGTGGTTGTTCCAAGCATATGACGGGAGATATCGAAAAATTTTCACATCTAACGCTTAAGGCTAAGGGTTATGTGACGTATAGAGATAACAACAAAGGAAATATTCTTGGCATAAGCAAAGTTGGTGGTCCACCTTTCACATCAATTGAAGATGTTCTTTATGTCGAAGGACTAAAGCACAATCTTCTAAGTATTAGCCAACTATGTGACAAAGGCTTCAAGATCAAGTTCACTAAAGATGAATGTTTGATAGAAGATGAAGTCACACATGAGGCTAAACTTAAAGGTAAAAGAGTAAATAATATTTTTATGATTTCCCTTAACGATTTGTCTTTGAAGGTTAAATGTCTCAGGGAAAACAACAACGACTCATGGCTATGGCACAAAAGAATCGATCATATTCATATGGAGCATTTAAACAAATTGATTAAGCATGACCTTGTTGTTGGACTGCCTAAGATAAAGTTCATCAAAGATAGACTTTGCGATGCATGTCAAAAGGGAAAGCAAACAAAATCAACTTTCAAATCCAAGAATGTGGTTTCCTCTACTAGGCCACTACAATTGCTTCATATGGACTTGTTTGGACCTTCTAGAACGAGGAGCTTCAGAGGTAATGTATACGCTCTAACTATTGTTGATGACTTTTCTAGATATACTTGGACACTCTTTTTTGTGCAGAAAAATGATGCATTCAAGGCGTTCAAGAAATATGCAAAGCAAATTCAAAATGAGAAGTCACTATCTATTGCCTCCATAAGAAGCGACCATGGTGGAGAATTCCAGAATTCCTCCTTTGAAGATTTCTGTGAAGAACATGGAATATCACATAATTTCTCAGCACCAAGGACTCCTCAATAGAATGGAGTTGTAGAAAGGAAGAATATGTCTCTTATTGAACTTACAAGGACAATGCTTAGTGATTCAAACCTTCCAAAATACTTTTGGGCGGATGCTGTAAGCACGACATGCTTTGTGAGCAATATAGTTAATATTCGACCTATCTTGAAGAAGACTCCGTATGAACTCTTTCAAGGAAGGAAACCAAAT